CAACTCACATACAATCGAGACCCCCACCTCGCAACACTTTTCCAACAGCCTTCCTCATCGCACGGGCCTTTCCAGAGTCGCTAAATCGCTCGATTCTGCAAGCTAGTGGCCGTCTTCTAAGCTTCTCCAACTGCTGCGTCAGACGCTTCTTCTTGCCTACCACCATACCACACCTCATCCAACTCTCCCTATGAGCAACTCACGTGCTGCCGCCTCCGCCACCTTGCGAACAGGTCTAGCATTGATCTCCCTCATCTTAGCCCGATACTGGTTCATCAACTCCTTCGATATCGGCACCTACACAATCCCATACCACTCCTTCGCTATATCATCATTCACCCACCATCTGACGAGTGAACGGCTTCTCCTCCTCCACAAACCAATCCGGTAGAGCCGCATTGTGATCGTCAGCGAACCTGGCCACCACCACACTCACCCTTCTACTCTCAACTACCATCCTTACGTATATCTATTGTAAGCACTGTCAATCAGCTCCATCCGACTCTTCTTAGACGTCAGCAGGCTGCCCAAGGCTAGCGTCTCAGCGAGCTCTTGCGGATCTTCTGGTCTCTCGAACGCCGAGGCAGTGCTCGCTGGCACCTTACCACAACACCAATTCAGCCAAGATGGACACCTCTACCACTATACTAGGAGACAGTATTAAGACACCTACCACTTCGAATCCTCCGACATCAGTTCCGGCAGCATCACCATCCTTATGGCCATGGCCATCACCCTCCTCCTCCACTTCTCCCATCTTACGGGCCCTCTTCGCCTGAAACCAATAGACGCTATAGTTGAGCAGGACGATCATTCAAAGACTGTATCATAATTTCAAGATGTCCCTCTTCTATTCGAGGGCTTGCAATACATACCATCACCCACACAACTCAACAGCCTCGACACTAGCTAGATAGTCAGCCGACCTCGCTTACCTCCTTCTTCTCCTTCTTGGCAAGATCACGCTTCCTCTTCTCCTTCCTCAACTGCTTATCCGTAAGAGGCAACTTCAACAGATCCTCATCATCCAACTCACGAATCTATAATGACCACATACCAACCTATGCTACCATACACACAGTCCCACCCCATCGACATCGTCCTTCATCTCGTCATCATCATCATCACTATCCTCTTTGAAGAGCTCTTGCGAGAACCAACGATCCGTCCGAATCTATCACCAAGTCCCGTAAACAACATCCACCCACAACCCTCTTATACTACTTGTCCCTTCGCTCCGCTCATTTCCGGAGGTAACACGATCTCCTCGGAAGCCTCACTCTCCTTAAAGCGCTTACTCGGCACTTCCACCTCTCCATCGCTTGAGTCTCCCTTCTCTTCATCATCATCCTCCTGTATCCCATCAACATACCTATTCCCAATACCACTCCACCCTCAAGCAACTCCCATCACTCCTACGCAGCATCTCCTCCTTCATCCGACTCATACCCGTCCACAGACTCTCCATCCTCATCATCACTAACGCCAGCAAGCTCACGGCGAACCTTTCGGTGAATAAGCATCTACTGGCCGACCACCCCGACTCACCTGTTCCTCATGAGCAGCGACCGCCTTCCCCTCGATCTCCGAGGTAACCTCTCTCGCCTCTGCCGCCCACTCCTGTGCAGCTCTCTCCCTTCTAGTCTCCTTCTTCCCCTTCTTAGCCTTCAACGCGGCCTTCTCCTTCCCTACAAACTACCACTATACACAACTACTACAAAAAGAGTAACCTACGGAGCTCAGCGTCCCTCAGCTCATTCTTGTGATATTCCGACATCTCCTTCTCCATCCTCTCCAGCCTCGAGCTGTTATCTCCCACTATATACCTCAATATCAACACAGTAAGCTACATGAACCTCAGCTGTACCCTCCTACTCGTATTGGCCAGGTTGGATGTCCCTATCTGTCGGATCTTCCTCTGAGCCCTCCAGTGCGGTAACGTCCTAACATCAAACACTGCCATCAACGACAGCATCTACACCCTCCCTCATAGGGTGAAGAGATGTGTATCCCGTGTTAGTGAAAATATGAATACCATGAGGAAACTCCGGGGAATTTTTCTTGGATTTTGTTGACTTCTACCCGAGTTAAACTTCCATAGGAAACGAGTAAACCCCCGAGCTCAGCTGAGGAGAGCGCATATATATTCCAGCACCCTTCCCTTACCTCATCAACCTCGTTAGCAGCCTCAAAGTCATCCTGAGTTATCCCACCAAAAAGGTCAGGCTCGTACATTGATGAGGCGCTGAATGCTCCACCTGAAAAGTCCACATAACTCCACATATACTATGAACACTTTCTAGGCACTACCTAGGGACATCTTCTTCCTCATCTCCTGCTTCTTAGTCCTCTCCCTTTGCTTCTTCAGCTCAGCCTTCTCCTCCCTTCGACCTAGTCCACATCACACAATCAGCAGCAACACCAACATCGATATCCTTACGAGAGCTCAACAATGCTGCCAGTTCATCATCGACAGACTTGCCAGGCCGAGCGTTTGCAAGAGTATCTTCCTCATCCTCCTCTCCTTCGCTCTCTTGATCCACCTTAGATGCCTTCTCACGATCCCTAACACACAAGCTTCTCAACAACATGGTCCTCTTCCAAGAGAGCTACCTTCTAATACGCATACGCCACTTCAGCAAAGCCATGAGCTCTCCTTTCCCCAGCACTTTCAAGTCGCTCATATAATCCAATATCTCCGGGGTCGTATAGGGGGACCTAAGATATTTCCATAGCCCCAATAACAATATACCATTCAAGCCTACTTTCTTATCGCCTCACAATCCTCCGTCGCAAACACGAGCTTGCTCCTCTTGATGAGGACCTCTGCCGGAGCAGGAGAGGCTATGAACTCCGCAACCGTCGCAGTTGAGAATCTAAAAGTGGAGACTATCTACACTCGACATGGATCAACATATCCCTACAGTTCCGACTCATCCTCATACCCCCCTCTACGTCTCTTCATAGCCGACTTGAGGTAGTCATTGAGAGCCGCTGCCCCACTGCTACCAGCTGAGACAGCAATAGTGCTGATAAAAAGGTATTCTATCCTATCTACCTTTCTTGCCAGTAATTTCCTCCTCATCCTCCTCTCCAACAGCCGCCTTCTCCTGCTCATCTCCCTCCATCATAAACACCCACTTCGGATCGAACAATCGAGGATCAACTCTCGCTGGAGCCTTGAAGCCCTTACAAGTAACCTAAAACAACACACGAGTGACGACTCATCCACATGTCATACCATCACTCACGAAAATCTCAGCAGAGACGTTACGAGAAGCGGTGGGTTTGGTCGCCTCAACCTTCTCAAACAGCTGTTGGAAAACCCACAAAAGACTGTTGTAATCAGAAGATCGGAAGACTTTGGTGACGAAGGTACCTACACCCCAACGACGATACTGTCAACCCCTTCTACTCCTCATATAGACCCACCTCCCTTCCTGAGCATGTCCGCTGCTAGATGCACAGCATATAGACACAGTTCAGCCTGGTTGTAAGCATCCTTAGCCCAACTCGCACCCACATTAGGTGCACCATCATTCAATACAACATCACAAGGAGTACCTATCAGAATCAAACACCTGTCGGAGGCTCCTCAAGGCGACCACTAGTACCATTGAGCTCCTTCAACAGGAACTGCCTGCACTTCTGTGTTGTTATATCACATTGCATGGTCACCACCCCCTTTATCGGTTTTATCGGCATCAAATCGACACATATGACCTTCGAGTTTGCAGGCATATGCTTTACTGCTACCTAAACCAGTCCAAGCACCTCCCCCTAGGCCATGAATGAACCAATAGCCCACCTGACTCCACCCTCCAGGAGCACCACAGAGATCCACACATGATCTGGCGTTCTTGAGGAAGCCGTATCTAACACAGCCCTCAACGCGGTTACCCTTTCCCGACGAAACTACTTCTTCTCGAGCTGGATCAGTTTGAACGCTGATCGTGCGCGATAGCCCTGCTCCTTAGCAAGCTGATAGAAGCGATCCAAACGCTCCTTTCCGACCTTCTTCCGGCGAACCATAGAATCAGCGTAAGGGAAAGTATAGAACTTCCGACAACAAACGAGTAACTCTTGAGCGCGGACTCCACCAATACAGCAAAAGCAGATTACAAGAGCTTCCAGCTTCCCAGTATCATCCACTACATATCGCTGACTGCAACAAAATATAGCGCCTATACTGCCAAGTTATGGATTTCCCTTCTTTCCGCTTCTCATAGTCAAAATCACCGCGCCCTTCGCAAGAAAGTTTATCGAAAACGCTGTTCCGCCTCAGATCCTCTTATGGGTGAGAACGGCCCTCGCAGCTCCTGTGTGCAGTAGTACTACAGCACGGATAGCTAATGCTCCCACTGCCTCGAAGGGCGGTCATAGAACCCAGCGCTAAACGACATCACCACCGTATTAGCATGCAAGTGCATGAAATATACCCCATTTCTTGCAGTTGCACGAACGTAATTGAGAAGCCAGGACGATTTGCGACTGGGTGTGTGCTGGTCTCACCGTAGGCTTCCAAGCCTGGGCACTTTGCATCGCGTGCTCGACACGAGTAGCCTCATAAACTTGGCTTGCTGCTCACCAATGGAGTTGTACTCATAACACGCTTGAGTCTGGCTACCTCATTACGTTTCGTCGACTTCAGATAGGAGACCTCTGGACGAGAATACGCCTTGGCTCAATTACGAACGAAGTTATTCGTTCGCTTAATTTCACTGATCCGTGATCCTGGCCGAGGTTTCTGGCGATTCATAAATAGCGAGTCTTGATTATCGCAGCACGTTCACAGTCCATGAACGTGCTTGAAACGAGAAGTGTTTTACAAAGTTTCCCCACAGGTTGGGCTGATCCATATAACGAAGGCGCAATCAATTTGCAACCTAAAGTGTAAGGCTAAATGGTGAAAAGCATCTCCGTAATGCAAGCGCCACCTCAGGAATAATATGGAATTCGACGTACCTAGGTACACCGTACAACATTTCCTCACAATTACATGGTCGATGAGAACCCTTGTGATTGATGATACGACCCAACAAAACACTGGTGTGCTCGTGAATACGAAACTGTGCTGAACTCGAGACTAGTAGCCTCACTGATGTTACTCAGCCATCGTCACCAACAACATAAAACCTTCTCAGTGCAAGATGCTATTGCCGAACTATTCAACAATGACTGAACACACAGAGGGAGGCGATAGTCGCCACTTAGTGGATAAAGAACGGAAGGCTGGGCAGAGAGCAATAGTAATCATCACCACACACATATGCACATCTTAAGCCTCGATAGGGAAAAGAACCTTACGCAGATTAGGCTTGTCCTTCTCCTCAAGCTGACGAAGACGGGCGTCCAGAGTGTTATCAACACGGATCTTGCCATCGTTGCAGCTTAGCACAACACCACCAGCCTTGCCCTTGAGAGGGTTCTTCTTGTCGAGCTTGAGCACAACGGCCTTGGTAGTGCCCTTAGCCTGCTTGGCGATCTCAGCGGCATAGATCTTCTGAGCCTCAGGGATGACAGCCTCAACAAGAGCCATGTCCTCCTGACGGCAACGAATGGTGACCTCAGGCTCAAGAAGAGAGAAACAGCCCTGAACGATGAGGTTGGTGACAGTGGTCTTATAAGCGGGAGTCTTGGCGTAAGCAGAAAGCTCGGCGATGGCATCATCAACAGCCTTGTGGAGCATAGCATCACGCTCACCGATCTTCTGAAGTCGAGAACGGTTGATTGCAGTGGAACGAGCGATAGCTCTCTGAGTCTCAATCTTCTTAGCCTTCTGAGCATACTCCCTGAAAAGACGACTCTGTGGCGAGCAGGTAGTCGGCAATAATTAGGATTGTCACACTAGACTTACTTTCTGACCTTCTCCTTCATCTGCTGGACAAGCTTCAGCTTCTCAATGTTGAAGTCCTCCATGGCCTTAGCCTCAATCTCCTCCGATTTGTCCTAAGATGAACGGCAATGCGACCAAGACGCAAACGATAATCAATGCGCTTACCTTCGCCTCATTGAGGATGAAGTTGACCATCTGCTGGATCTGCTTCTGGGCCTCAGCTGCGTCCATTGTTAAACTGGGGATAGATCAAAAAAGATATTACCTAACTTGAAGAAGGAGATGAGAAACAATCGATGGAAAACTCACGAGTTCAACGCAGCAATAACAAACGATACGCTAATACACACAGGAGATCGAATGCGCGAGTTAGATCAACAGTAGTATTTTAAACTTGCAGCGCGTCCGAAAAAGATAGAATGAAGAATTTGCTATGCTACACACCAAGAGTAGCTGGACAGAGAGTCCTACGCAATCAACGCCACATAAAACGATATACACAAAGTGATGAGAAGATGAAGTCAGTGAATGAATAAGTGAGCGATACAGAAAACATGCCTTGAAGATACCCTACGAGCTTTACTGCGCACTACAGCCGCAAAGCTTGCTCAGCGAGGCTGAAATCGATCACGATGGCGTGCGCACTACGCTTCCAACTTGGTCATAACGAATTTTGTCACCCTTTGCACCCTCCTAATCAGATGAATGTTAGCTAGGGTCAGAGTGTGCTTGTCGCTGCAACATTATCGTTACGCTCTACCAGCTAGGCAAGTGCGTAGGCGATCACTGTTAGCTCATCTAAAGCTACTTGTGACATGATATGAAGTAGGTCAGAGTGCTGCATCGAAGCGGTATATCTCCAACGTTGGTTGGCGGAGCCAGCTAAATAGAATAACAATAAACAGTGAGTAACAGCTCTTCCCTCGTAAATCGAGTCTATATCGCCGGTCCGTGTAACCACCCAGCTTTGTGTCATTGTCCCCTTTGTAGAGCATGTTCGAGTTGAGACATTTGTTAACAGCTATTCATTGATGCCATTATCTAAATTCAATTCTAACAATGTGTTCCTGCTCTCATGGGAGTGGGCATCTGAGATGAGACGACACTCATTCACTCACACGACAATATCGGTCGATACTTTCCACAGAACACCGAAGGACATTGAGATGGAAATAGCAGCACATTTCAGTAGTGTTAATAACCTCACAATGTAAGCGAGAGTCTCTCACATAGGCGAAAAGAAGCTTAGTACTACTACTGCTTGCCACGAGCATCTCGTCCAAAAACAGCAGCAGGAGTGATCTCGTTATGTCGTCCCTTGAGGGTTGGGTTCAGATATTAGTTCATGTTTCTCGGGTGGTTAATATCGGTATAATGCCACGACGAATTGTCTGAGTTTTCTCGTTGCTAATCGGTGTGAGGCAGAGCCGTTACACTACTACTAGCATTGCATCATTGTACGAAGGTTCAGTTGGTTTCTCATTTGAACCATCGAAGTCTGCCCAGCATCCTCTTGAGGAGCACCTCATAAACTTGGCCGGCTCGAGACCCCGTAGTAGAGTTGGTAGTAGTAATCAACAACAACAGCAGTGGGCATAGCTGATGATAAAACTGTAATAGAAAATAGTGCTGTTGTCGATAGTCAGCCCGTTTGCTTTGCTCCAAAGGATGTAGTCAGCACGAAGCTTGGCTGCTACCCCGTCGTGAAACCCCCATGTTGCCATGATAATTGTCTCTTTTGTTGTTGCTGGAATTTGTCGAGTTAATCAGTTGGGCTTAATCCTCTCCATTGCTGTGTTAAGGAGGTAGCTCTTGCAATTGTGTTTTTCCCTATGTTTCGAGCTAGGGTATGGTTTATCGCGACAGAAAAGTCCTTTCCTGCTATCAACAGGTGGCGGAAACACTTCGAATCAGAAAATTCGATGTAGTACCACGACCGGGGACGAACGGACTGACGTGATCGGGAGATTGCATCATACGGATAGTTGTGGCAGGTTCGATAGTAGAGAAGATTCCATTGATTCGAGGAGTGATGATGATGGTGAAGTTAGTGACATGTTCGAGGACCAGCCCGCCCAACACTGTAGGAAGTTTCTGCATCTCTCAACCGGCTTCGGAAGTCAATGTGAACAACTCGATTCATGTCGAGATCGTCTCTATTTCTCTATGAAGTACACTCTATGTTTCCGTTGTTCATAGGGTCTCAGGTCGGCTGATACTCTATCGTGATGGAGTCGGAGGGTCTTTCGATGGAGTCAACACCCTGCCGCTGCAGCGGAGTCGTGAGGTTCTCCTGCTTGGCATCACGGATCGGGTAAGGCCACTGCAGTCTACACTTCAATTCAACTTCCAGTTCTGAGTAGTAGTTAGTTTAGTGCCGTTGAATTGAAACGGCGTGCATCTCAGCGATGTGTGATGACGCGTTTGATTTAGTCAGACGTGACGTCGTGGTTGGAAGAATTCGCTGACAGTATACTGCATGCGTCTTACTTAATCTACGACTCCTACCCTGAACTCGCCGATAACACGAATACAACATGTAGGCAGTATTATGAGCCTCCTATCGATTGGCTTGTCAGAGTGTGTAACTGGATCAGACTCTCACTCGTGTTCAGGCATAGGTAGTGTCCTCATCTACTTCCAGTCACAGAGTGCAGCTGATAAATTCTACAACCGCTATCATAACAGGTGAGCAGTTGCCTGCTGGACTTCACTGTGATTCCGTATCATTCTGTTTCGAGGCACTTTGGCGGGCTGGGGTCGAGACATACTGCGGGCCCAGTCTGTTACGTCGTATTCCTGAGTGAACTGCGAGTGAGCACCTCCAAAGGCATAGAAGAATTCAGAGCCAATGCTAGCGTCAGACAGGGCCACGGCACTCCGGTAGGGACCGGTGACATGCAGAGCTTCACTATAGTTGTCATGTCGTGATAGTTGCCATCGTGTCCATATTGTCTTGAGCGTTTGGATGTGACCGTTACCGGTATTATTACTGGCAAGCACGGATGGCTCGAGATGCCGTCTGGTTCAAACCGAGCAAGTAGTTCTTCGCGCGGATGTTGGTCACTTATTGCTTTCGTAGATTGGTGTGCATGTTGCGAAAAGATGCTGATGCCTGCAGCCACTATGAAGTGTGAACAGTGCGAGGCTATGCATACTCGGGAAGCTCCAATGTGGGTAAGGTCCTGCTATCGAAGCCCTCGAGCTGAGGTATCCCATTCCTAGGTTTGCCTTGTATGTGGTCATGTGGGGTGTGGGCGATACACTAAGGCGGCCTGTGCTAAGCACCATGCGTTGGAAACTGGACATAGTCTTTGCGTGGAGGTGTCCAGCGGTCGGATTTGGGACTATGAGAGGGACGCATTTGTGCATCGACGGCTTGTAGGGTGCAGAAACGAATAGCTGCTGAGTTCTCAGTATTTCTCGGTAGGTACAAGAGTCTGGTAAAATGCTCGACTTGGAACCAGCGGCTGAGTCCTCCTCGCCAGAATCATCAGCTGATGGTCATGGAGTGCGAAGGGTGGGTATCAACGCAGAACCCAGCTCAACGGCCAGAAGCGAGTTGGATATACTCCTGAGCTCACAGATAGAGGAAGAGCGTCGACGGGTAGCTCTGGACCCTTGTAGAGGAGTATACATGATGATGATGTCAGTACGAGGAAGCGTGTGCGGAATTGGAGGCAGTTGGTGAGAGTCGAACTACGCATGAACGTTATTTGATGGAGATGGTTGACATGCCTGAGCTAGAGAGGACCGAGTAAGAAAGAGCTCACTGTTGAGATGTTCGGAAGTGGGACGTTTGATTTCTACATAGGGGTCTTCTGAAAAGTAGGAGGGAAGAAGTGAGTGCACTTCGACACGAGTTGAAGCGGTTACGGCGATTGCGAACTAAACGCGAGAAAGAGTTGAACGATATAAAAAAGGTGAAGGAGCTCCGCTGTGTTCTCTATGAGTTGGAGTTTGTCAGGACCTCGCCACGTTGAGGTCGGAGAAGATGTCTCTGGATAAGCAGGTGGCTAACACGCCCTTGGTAGGGATTGAGATAGAGGACGACAAAGAAGTGCAACGATTGAGAAAGGAGATAAGACTATCACCCTGATATGTTGACTGTGGTGACTAACATGGTCAGGTTGACGAGCTATCATTGCTTATAAGTGATCTCGACAGTTCGCCGCGGCATAATGGAGTTTCTTGAGCTACGAGATGCTTGTGGTTGAACAGTGTCATTATCCAGCTCCAGCCTCCCATGAGTTAGACCGTACGCGGGAGGACGACTCAGTACACGCGAAGTCGTTGGCTCATTACCAGCCTTGCACCCCAGGAAAGATGCCTCCACATCACCATAGTGGGCGAATTACGGGAGATGTATCACTCAACCTTCTCCGAGCATCACTGCGAGATACAGTCCCTGGTACACGATGTCACACCGCGAGCGACAAGCTGTGATTGTCTGGTTACTTATACCTACACTGTTATGGAAGGCTCCGCTATACTTAGTTTGGTCCTTACTAGGCTGATAGAGTATGAGTTAGTGACCCATAGCCGGTTACGGAAGTGAGTTTGTGCGACTATGCATGTGTTGAGAACCGTCAGACAGACCCGACTCTGAACTCAACAGAGGGAAGGGGAAGGCCGAAAGGTTATCTTAACTCTTGTTCCTCGAAAACCGTGTGCATGCGTATCGATTCGAGAGTCGATATCCCGCACAGAAGCTATACGCCAATCTCGTCCGCGCAACGAGAACAGCAGACAGTCCTGCGGCACACAACGAAAGGGACGCCACTATGACTAATAATGTGGCAGCGAACGATCCATTACAGCATGCATGGTATATGTTGACAGAACTCGGTACCTGTACTTCATTTCATGGGTAATGCGCGAAGTATTTACGCACTGATCATCTACGGTCAAATACCCATTCTTGGCGAATCAGCCGTTGGCCTTGCGGACCGCAAGTTGCGGTGACAGACTCGATTCTATAAGATATTCCCGTTGGTTAGAACCCACCCGACTCCAACTCGAAAAATTTTTCCTTAGAGAAACAGACTATTCCTGCGTTTGTAGCATATCGTAACAGACTACCCCAACTCCACTTCGCTCGTTACAAAGGTAATCAGAATTAATGAGAATATGAGATGTGCCGCCAGAGTCGACTCCTGCACATCGTATGTGAACTATCAGATCTTTTCAGGGAACCAAATGAATCATTTGAAATAGTGGCTCAGCAATGCTACTCACACGAGTAGCGAAAAACCAGGCGAGTCTACGCCCAATCGATCACGCGTTGTACAGTGTACACGAAGTGGCGATTTTCACTGGCGTTTTTTCGGGAAGTGAGATTTTTTTACTTCGCGTAATTTGCGTAGAACACTAGGTATAAAACTGTAGCACACATAATACGGGTGCATCTCCTGTCGAGGTATGATGAACTCTAATTTAGAGTCTCTAAAACAACACAACAAGGGAACTCGAGCTAGAGCAACCAATACTACGAGCCTAACAATAGGACAATAACAATAAGCGCACTTCCTGCACTTGAGTTCTGTACGAATACACACACTTAGCAGCACAGTAATCGATACTGGGCTCATTCGCTACAGAAAGGGAGGCGAAGGTTTGATGAGATAACAAGGGTGCAGGCAAACTGGACCCACAACACTCCCTTTAATTCGTGAGTGACGCCGTTATATGGGGAAAGCGTGACGCCGTCAGCGTTCACAGCTGCTCTAAAGTGATACAACAGTACCACTGTCGCAGTGACATCGTGGTGCCTATAGGGCTAAGGCAAACAAGTGAAATAAACAGAGGAAGGACAGCGGATCCTAGTAATAGCGTAGGCTGCAAAGTGACAAGATGAGAGCCACGGCACAGGGAGACTGACCGTCTCGGACGGTGACACACACGATGATGCGTTCATGGTCACGCCGTCTCAACTGTGTGTTGCAGATACATTATAGAGGACCTCGGTGTGGATGATGCGTCGATATTGGTCACGTTCCAGAAGTCTATATCCCGGATCTGGATGAATCAGACTCTCTATCTCCCTCTGGGAGCTCTTAGTGCATCTTTCTTACCGCCCACCCGGTGGAAATGCGCATCACTTGTTGGTAGATATCTGAAGTCTAGCAGTAGCGAGTAATACGTGCGTGACACGCAGTGCCCCCGTGTCACGGAGTTCAACTCCGGGAGTTGTGACGCGGCAACAAGTAGGTAGGAGCTATCACCTGTAAATATCAGAGCATGCGTGTTATCTTATATAACTCAGCCCAGTATTGTATCAATAATCGGTCATTGACTGCATTGATTCCTAGTTGTGGGTCGCATTCGCAAGAAATGTTTCAGTTGAAATTTAGTAACCGTCCTACAGATATGAATAACATTATGATATCGATATTGGTCATACTGGGGGTGACCAGGAGCGCGAATGTATTGTGCCCTCTTAGTAAGGTTAGTCAAGAATACGGGTACATACAAGTGAGTAAGGAAAACAAGTAGGATGCTTGTATGGAAACATTGTCGATCATGGCGGCTCTGTTCAGATATTTCTTCGTGGCTATGGAAGCTGAGGAAGACCCAAAAACAGCATCTACCTTTGTGTTTCTCCGAGGAGGTTTGGGTTTCAGCAGCATCGGAGGGGCAATGGCGCAGGGACCATGCTTCATTTCAACGACTACGGACAAGCCTGAGTTGAACCCGTGAGGACCTGGATCATCTTCGATCATTCCTTTACCATAATTCTCCCAGATATTCATGGACGCAGAAGGCCAACAGCATTTGGGTGGACGCCCCGGGACCTACTGGCTTCAGCGAAGGACCAATTGAGCCAGACCTGAACGCGGTGGTGAATAATTTGTGAGTTACTCCTTGTGGGACGTCCTTAGGCAACTGATTTGGAGCACGAATGTCCCGATGTTCTTTCATTGCGAGTTCCAGAGGACTTCTTAGCATTGATCAATCGTGATTCCTTGCAGGATCGAATTCGTGACGCAGTTCTTCAAGGACCATCCAAACTTCAACACGAAGGTGTACATAGTCGGTCTCTCTGCTGCTGGTACGAGGGTAACCCTCGGAGGATTCGTTACGCCTCCTGAATCAGGAATCCTGAGATATGCCAACGACTCGGTGAGACCGAAATGTTCCATCTCGTTTGTAGGTTCTATCGCTGCCATGCTGGGTACTGCCATCATTCGTCAAGATCTCGGGATTCACCTTGAAGGCGTCATGCTGGGCTCTTCTGTCATAGATCCAGGGGCTACGTAGGTGCAACTTTCCTATGAGAACTGGGCAGGTGTGCGTTTTCAGTGCTAGAGGATGTATAACAGTGCTGGAACAGAGAGATTTTCTACC